AGGCGCTTTATCCCTGACTCCAAGTCGTGTATTCTTCGCCTTTACGTACGGAAATTATTCCGCCAACTCATACTTTCCGAAAAGTTCCTACGTTTAATTTCCTTTCCAGCTCAATTAGAAAAACGCTCTATGGTATCGTGGGGACAACAAAGATTGAAAAGCTGACACTGACACCCTTGCACAATATTTCCCCGTGCACCATCGTTTCGTTTGGGCAGTGGAGCACATTTCGGACACAGTTATTATTACCAGTTCTTCTCCATCTTAACCCCATTTTTCTCCAGCCTGTTCGGCTCACACAGGACCGCATTGAAACGGCACTCCCACGGAGGCTGTTTCTGGGGGTAGGTTGATGTAGTGCACGGTAAACTTCGCCATGAATTTCTACCTGTTGTGAAGTCTGTATTCGCAAATGGCTTCCAATGAATTCTGAACGACTTTTAACGTACATGATCTGGTTTACCCGCTTAACTTGCCCGTTAGAGTGCCCAGAATGAAAACGTTGCGCTGCTGCCACTTACTTCCGACCCTCTAAGTTGTGGTTACCCGAAGAAACTACATCAGCACGCGCCTAGAAGTCAAGGAGGTGACCGATGATAACTTCAGCCAGTTATCAGGCTCCTCATGGCGCTGTTTCACCGTAGACCAAGCAAACTGCCAACCTGGAGTAGGACAAAGGCCTCCATTAAGCACAGCAGGACATAAGGAACCTCGTCACCATGATTTCGACATCCACCCAGGCGGCCATTGACTTCGGCATAGCGGCAATCAGCTCGGGATGTGAAGTAAGCTGATGATACAAGTCTTTTGAACATAGGCTTCGAAACACAATCACGGCAGCAGGACCAACAGGGAAAGCTGGGTAAAACACCCGATGGGGATCAGATGGAAAAGGATCACCGTTTGATTACTTTCCAACGGACAATATCTATGTCCCCCCTCCCCAGGCGAAAGCGATCACGCTTTCACGAGGTTCGCCTTGATAACAAAGGCCGGAGCACCAAGAGTTGGGCCAGAGGCGTTCCAACATTACCGAGGGGCAGACTACCACCTCACGAACGGTGAACTAGGGGCTATTTGGTCACAAGAATGGCACTCACTAGCGATAGACGAACACTGGATACGTAGTAAAGACATTATTTGGGGCGCTACCCAAATAAGTGTTTCGAAATCAGCCAGAAGACCGTCTCTCAATCGGTCTTAAGCTTCTGTTGGAACTCGGAGGTACATATAGAGGAAATGGAAGGCGTAGTATCATGGCGCACATCACACAAGGAATCAACAATTCATGTAATGTAAGTGTTCTTAACGGATTTTTCAAACACTAGAGTAACCTGACTAAATAACGAATTCATAACCCGAAAAGCGAATATCGATTTATGCCACCAGGAAAACAGAGGAATAGAGGTTTAGACGTAAATACAGGACCGACCGGGGACCCCTGAGTAGCGGTAAAATAGCAAAATTAGTGAGTGGCCGACTTGACGAGAGGTTCAACATTGTGATGCATCCACTGATAAAGTTGAGTGATGTAATAAAGCTTAGGCACTACGTCTGTACGGTGACGAACGTAAAGATTCCGTCAACCCAGGTGTCTGCGAAACCTAACATTAAGGATATGGAAATCTTCAGGTTGTTACGGCGCAAGACTGGCAGCCCTGTGGCTTATCCAAAAAGTCCTCTTTAGATACCCTGGTTGACAAGATTGCCTCCCTAACTTCTGATGCGACAAACCTCAGTTCTCGTGCCTCTATATTTCTCCTCATCGCCCTATATGCAGATTACGATGGCGGATCATGCCGAAACACACCTCGAACCTCTATCCAACACGACAGAACTATCATCTTTTGCCACCTAGAGATGCGAAACCACTAGAGGCTAGGCAGTTCACCCCAGACCACAACCTCACCTGACCTCATAGCTCCAATTAGGGGTGCAACTGGAAATGTAACCTACATTTCTTCATAACCTAACTGATCTCACAACTTAATACCTATTGCCTAAAATTCGTCCCTTAAAATAATCTCTCAACTCCGAAAAGATAAAAGAAATGTCTGTCGGTGCATTTTCATAGCATGCAACTCTTTATTATTTGCCCTTTGTTATCAGTACTTACACGTAAGTACTCTGCACCAACATATTGTTTCAGTAGCCCCGATATGGTAATGCTCAACAGGCAACACCATGATCATCCCCCCCTTCGTGACCAGATAAAGGGTGGTTGCCGTCTAAGAAAAAATCACGAATTTCACTTAAATGTTTATAACTTCATCAGACGCTCGTACATAGGTATAGAGCAAGTGAATACCTGGTCCAAAATCCTTCAATCTCTCTATTTCGTGGTGATATCTTCGGCTTCAGACTGATTTTCATCAACGTCGTGCGCACCTTCACCTTCTTCCACCTAAGCTTACCTGCAGACAGTTGGTTCTGGATACTTCTTGAAGTAAGTTTTACAGTCAGTACAGAGGACTCACCCAGATGTATCACGGTTGATCTACTCCTGCATATATTTGCCCTCCCGTTTCGAATTTTGCCTGCTGCTCGCTTTTGTTATTCACTTTTCAGGTTTATCTAACCAGTCCTGCATTCAAATGGAATCCTAAAGATCGCATCCGTCAGTGGGAAATATTGCCATCAAAACCTTATGACGAACGCGCACACCTCAAGGTCATGATTGTGATGCGGCCTCACCTTCAAGAATATCGGAAGATTCAAATGATAACCGAATAATCCTTAAATTCTAACTGAGCCTGCTCTAACACGCCTCTTATATGCCAAAAATAACGGTATCTAATGTATAGCTTAACATTGTACATAATAGTCATTTCTCATTGCCAAAGCGATCAAACCTATGAGCTGGTTTGTATTCATGTAACCTTTGTTGTATGAAATATATATATCATTATTATTGTCACTTGACCTTATAGCTGCAATTAGGAGTGCAACTGGAAATGTTGGTATCAAATGCCGTTTGCATCCAAACATGCAATTCCCTCTGCTCCTGGCAACCACTCATCTTGAAACAAGGCTAACCGAAAGCTCTCGCACGACTAGCCAACCCTGATGCCCTACTGAACGGTTTGATGGTGAAACCCCTTATATTCCCCACCGTGGTATGGCAGCAGAAGTTGGATAGAGTTGCATCTCTGGCCTTGTTCATCCAGATGACTGTGTTTACATCACCATGGACCTAAACACTTGCTACACTCTGTGTGACACCAGACACTATCATATCCAAACTTGCCCCCCCCCTGCCGTCCATCCCAGCATTTAACGCTAGATTTACTTGCCGTCTGTGGACAGTGCGAATTTATCGAATACTGACATATGCTTAGCTTCCTATGTTCTCAACATTCGACATGCGATATACTCCTGTAGATTTCACAGCCCACTATTGTTTCTCATACTGTGTGATTATACCCTCGTTAATTTTCACCACCGTTGTTTAACGGTATCGCTGTTATCAAATATTTCTGACCGGTAACACCCAAACGACTGTTCACTCTAGAAGACTTCGTATGGCACGATGATATGTTTCTCTCTCAGCTTTTACAGCTTCAATGGGGAAATAGCATTTAGATATTTCCTGTAACAATGCCGTGTGTCCGTATAATTCATTATGCAAAATATATTATTGTCATTACTGTTAATAATAGCCTAGTCATGCACCATTTGGAAACAAGCCAGATCTGAAAAGAATGGAAACTTGTAATCCTTCCGCCGATCTTCAAGGGAGATCGAAAAAACCTATACAATTACAGACCGGTAGCGTTGCTCCCCATACTGTCCAGGGTACTGGAAAGCCTGACGGCAAATGCTGTTTGGGCTTACCTTGGAGGAAACAGCACCGTACATCCCACCCAATTTGACCTCGGATCCCGGCTGCCATGCACCATAAACTTAATGACAGCTCGGGATGACTGGACCACTAGATGGGACGTCAAGCGACCAGTCCACGCTATCTTTTTGGACGTGGTCGAGGCTTTCAATAGTGTCACACACCTCAGCACGCTAAGCTTTTAAAAGTTGGCATCACTGAACCACTCTTAGCATGGTTTTCAGCGTATGTGGCTACGAGGAATCCCGTACCGAAGTGAAGAGAATTCAAAATACTTGGAGGAGTTCGAGAAAAGAAGTTTCTCAGGATAAGCTCCCCAGGCCGCTCCTGTTTTCACCACGCATCAGTGACCTTCCCATTTAAACCCCCTCGTCTTTCCTTCTACTTGGCGACGACATCAAATTATAGAGGACAATATGCAGTGGAGAGGATGCTAGGATACTGCGTTTGCGGGACTCCGTTTGCTTACCCCCGTAGCGCAAAGGCAGGGGTAAATTCAGACTTCAGCTCATAGGGAGAGTCTGTCTCATGGAACGCTGTGTACCTGATTCCCTCAGGCGACTCCTGGATAAGTACGTGAAAGCAAACGGCTTGCCAGGAACACTCATCGGTAGCAACTGAAGGTATGCCTACCCACCCCTCTACTCTCCAACCCTTGTATCTCCAATGAGCTGCATCGCTTCACCATATTATCAGCATTAACGCCTATTTTCTATAAATTCTTTCACCCCTCCCTTTCTTATTCCCCGCTTGCCCCATTTACAGCGCTTTTTGAGTAATGCTCAACGCTCGCCTGCAGAGGTTTACGAAAACAAGAATTTCAGAGGGTCGGTTGATCTTACCAGAAACTCCGTTGCACCCCCCAAACAAACCAAGCTACAAATCACGAGAAAGAATACCTTCAAATAGATAATCACTACCTCTAAAGCCATGAGCCAGGAAGACTTCTGAGGCCATCAGAGGAGCACCACTGAACGAAAAGAACTGACCCTCAAGACCTAGAATTGAAAGCTAAAAAACTGCAAGTTCGCTCCGCTCGCACTACTGATGTTGGATGATGGACTAGATCCTAGATCTAAACTTGCACTATTGATAGGTGGTCACTGTAGGAATTTATCTGTTTTCAGTTAAAACTTTTGAAACCTATTTTTTTGAGTCAACTTAGATGTGGAAACTCATGGTTTTACTACAATACTGATTAGTGCCACAAAAATGTGGGTGGTCAACCTATGCGTTACATTTTTTTAGGATGGCGGCTGTTATTCAAGACTCTTCTAAGCAAACTATCAGACCCGAACTAGTTTTTAAAATCGATGGACTGGGTTGCAGTGTCAACGATGCGATTTTTATTCCTGGCAGAGATTCAATTGTTACGGGGTCGGAGGATCGGTAAGTTCCACGAATTAGTTACGTATCTCTCAGTACATTGAGAATTTGGGTGCGAAGAGAAACAGGGAAGTTCTGGCCAACGGTCATTGAGCTTCTTCCTAGTATGTCCTATTATTTGTAGTTAAAATTTCAGGTCCAGTTACTTGTATTACGTACTCTTCTGGAACTCATCGGTTATTTGTCGGTTTGGAGAATGGGACAGTCGTAGAATATGATATTTCTGATGATTTGAATCACGTTGAACACAAACGAGATTATCTGTCACACACTGCTAGGATAAATGGGATTGTTTGCACGCCAGACACGGACTGGATTGTATCTGCCGCAAAAGACCATACAGTGGCATGGTATTCAACTAACAACGGGAAACGCATTTGTGAGCACACTTTAGAGCACTCGGCCACATGTTTAGAGTAAGTGAATGGCACCTTTCAAATCAGTTTGTCTCGAAATGCACACCATTATGTTTTCAGCAACGGATATTTCTCTTCGGTTTTTTTTAAAATCCTTGTCTGACTTTGCGTTTGTCTAGACTGTCACACTGTTTTGCCGATCGTCAGAATAAAGTTGGACTTCGTCCAAGTCTGCAGTGTTGCACTAAACAAAAATGTAAGTTTGTCAAGTTGTTGTAAGTTCTGGCATGTGCTAAGTTAGTCGGTAAATCAGATTTCTTTTGAGAAATTAATTACGGTTAGCATAAGTGAATTTTACTGCAAGAAAGTCTTTTGGCAGTTATCTGTTGCGATCGTCTCATTCTCTAATATAACTTAGCAAGAAGCCGTCGTGAATCGAACTTGGACTGCGGTAATTTATTCCCATTGTTGCAATGATGAAACTTGACCGCAACCAACAGCCTTACAAGTGCCACTCATCGCACCACAAAAGAAATAGAGGGTATCTTCAGGTTGTCATAAATGTAAGGGATTATGTCGCCACCCTTACGAGTCGTGACACTGTCCATCCCATTATATGCATCATCTGGGAGAAGTGGAGAAACGCTCACATAGGCTAACCATTTATCAGTGACCCTTATAATATCTGATTGCAAGCACTCGGCTGTCATTCAGCTTTTTCATTTTATTTCTGACACTACAGGCATTAGTGTAGTATGCTTTTAAGCTGTTGGTACAGATATCCAATCTACGGGAGTATTGGTTGCTGAGACCGGACTACATCGAAACCGAAGACTTATATATTTCTTCCTTCCCCTTGTCTCTCTAAGCTTTTAGTTCAGCCTCTGCCTCCTTTTTCTTTGCATTGTCCTCAAGCTGCCAACCAGGATATGTATGTATATTCTTTTCCTGAATTTTTTACGTTTCTGAGGCCGAGCTCATGCTTCCTCAACACAACTTTTACAAGATGTGTTTGGACAGTGTTTCCCTCCTAGACCTTACTTAATCTTATGAACCTCTCGTATACTACGAGGGGCTTCTGCAGTGCTGCTCCAACCGGTGCATGAGTATGTCTTTTGAAGGCATCAAAGTCCTCCGCGTCGTTTGTAGTCCACTGATGCTAATGTAGTACATGGTGGACCTGTTCAATACAATTACCGCATTTCTGGCCCTCTATAACTGAGAAATCGCAGCTGGATTTCATAACGACCATAGTGGACTCATGGTTAAAAGTAAAAAAAAGTACTTGAAACAAAGCTGAAACAAGTTCACTGAAGGGCTTATGCACTACACAAAACATGGAAAACGAAGGCCGAGAAAACTGAACTCTTGCTGCATGCAATAGAATTTTTTGAAAATTGGTCCTCAACCTAGTTGGTTTCAGTGAAAGTAAGCTAGAAAAGCTGCTGATGCGTTGTGCACAAAAAAGTCCGGAACACTTCAGTACCTAAGAGGCACCATCTTTCTTGTTGTGTTTTAAAGGTGATAGATAACTAGTCACCAATTACCGACCTGTTAGTCTTACCGGCATCATGACCAGGATAATGAAGAAGATCCTGTATGATAAAGTGTAAAACGCTTTCGAAGCGGTCTGCTGACACAAGCAGCATGTCTTTTGCACTCGACGCTCTTGTTTGACACCTGGCAATTGAGGACTAAGCTAAGGCTAAGGCCAATAAACTCCATGCGGACATAGTGTCCATTGACTTTCGCAAGGCTTTTGATAAGATGTCTCGCAGTTGATGAAGAATCTTCTTAAATTTGTTATTAACAATCGGGTTCGAGTATGGATTAGGGAATACTTACACCAGAAGAGACAGTAAGTGAATGAAATAGTGTCTGAGTGACAACTTGTCACCAGTAGTTCTTCATGACACTAACCTTGTACCACTATGTTTCTGTCTTAACGTTAGTGATATGCCAGAGATGTTTTAGCCGTCATCACTACTATTTGATAATGACGTCAAGGTGTGAAGATCATCCATGAGGATAATGACGAGTCTGCACTCCAATAAGACCTCGATGAAGACTAGGAATTTTAATACTTCTACAGCTAAAACGTTTCGCATGCTTTGGAGGCTTCGTAGAGGATTCAAATCCCGTAATGAAGGTATGTTTTAGTTTCTATACCCAATTTATTTAGGGCCTCGTTTAGAGTATTATATCCAGACAGCTAGCCTTTGCTTCCAAAAGGGAACTGAGGCACTAGAGAGAGTTAATTGGGTTGGGACTGAACTAGTAGCAAGTCTTGTCAACTTCCCCTATGAAGAGTGATTAGCAAGGATAAGCCTTTTCCCACTGTTTTATCCTAGGAAAAATGGTTTAATTGTGGTTTTTCATATCGTAAATATTGACTTAGGTATTGATTTATGCGTTCTTTTTACTCCCTCTAGGATTGATTACTGTAGAGGTTATCTTCATATAGATTGCATCAAGGATTAGCACAAGCCCATAGCCTACTGTTTCATGCACTGAGAAGTTGCATTACCATGTTCTCGTTTGAAGAGTTATCAGTTGGGCCGGAAAGTTGTATTTCTTTATGACTTGTAGTCTGTTCACCTATTCTTACCAGCACTTTATCAACTTCAACCATCTTAGTAGTGAGTGCCTGAACTTTTCAATATCAGTATGCCAGTCATATATCATAAACAAAAGGAATGTGCTGTCTGATGAGTGTGTATATTTGTAATGAGGAGTCTGAGATGGCCGTAATTTGTGCACTGAGACTGATGTCTCTCAGTAATAACTACAGTAGTGTATTTACATTCATTATTGACATAGAATGTCCAACTTATCAAAGTTGAGAAGACTGTATCCTCAAGCAGCTGGACTAGTATCAAAGCTATTAAGGGACGGGCATCGACGATTAATAGTCAGATAGTCTGAAATGCTAGCTAGCCAATGAGAGTGAAATATGATCTCTGATTTATCTTCAGTGACTGATTAACCCAGTCCTCAAGAAAAGTGAGTAATCTTGTGATAACCACAAGCGAGTTAGTCTGACCAACACTATCTAGGATTCCAGGTCCCACAATTATTAAATGTCTGAGTAAAGCTCGGGAAGAGCAAACCCCAATAAACCAGGTAGGTTTCAAATCTCGTAGTGGGTGTGTCAACCATATACTTACGCTCCTTCAGGTTCTGGAATATTGGGACACTTACTTGCACCCGATACTATCTGTATTTATCGATATGAATATGACATTTGTCTGCGTTGGTCGAGAGGACTTCTGGCTCTCTCCCACTGAAAAGGGTTGCCGAATAAGGACATAACTCTTTTAAAGACTATACTCAAATACCCGTTAGCATGAGCCTGAGTGGCAATCTGAGAATGTTTGGGATTGGTTTATCGCCATCTAAATGCAAATGGTTGCTTCAGAGCTGGTCTTCATTGGTACCTCGGCCAACAATAGGGAGTGAAGTGGTTGAGTGAACTGATCACATCAATTGAAAAGTTGCATCAGTCATAGTGGTTCAGAGATCTGGAAATTCTCTGTACACGTACAAAAGGCTGGTTTGGCTTTCTCATAGTTTTTGGCAGTGAGAAAGTACCAGTCAATGAGGTGGTGGTGAACTTTCATTGGCTCAGGTGAATGGGACATATGTTGAACATGCATAGTCATCATCTACTCCGTTGCACAATGTTGGTGGAATTAGGTTCAGGCTAGAAAAGGGTTAAAGGTAACCAAACTTAGACGTCATTATTCGATGAAGTCTTTGACCGCCGGTCTGAGCTGTCTAGGGAAATCTAGACTTAGTGACTGGGGCAATTGGATTCGGTGCTTGAAAACTCTAGGTTGTATGGCTTTGAATCGATCTCAGTAACTCAAATGTATCAACATATCTCCATCCTAATCATCATGCTGAATTTAATCATTGTCTTATCGGTCCTTTTCCTCTTCTCACAATGTTCTACCGCTTTTGACTACTTTCTTCCTTATTCATTTTTCATTTTGGTGCATTCTTGCTTGATGTGCTGGAATGAGTTGTGGCAAATTGGACCGTTACACAGTGATGCCAGGTTTCATGTTGACTTTGACTAATTGATTCGCATTCACTGATTATCCTTCAGCCGTTAGTGTCTTTGTATGTCCTGTTTTGTACTTAGTTTTACATCTGGGCGTATAATTTCTCTCTTATCACTGCTCGTTTTCTTAGCTTCTTCCTATTTCAATAGATTATAGCAGCTCAGTTCTATGCATCGCTCTACTTTTCTTGGTTATATGAAATAAAATCGTGGAGATCATTTATATTTTTTTGTATTATGATCATGCACAAAATTTAAAAAGTGTAATAGATTATACTCAAAATATTTGTATACATTTCGTACATCATATTTCACTTTTACTTAAATTGGCTATTCATATGAGTCGCATACAAAAGACCATCATCACAAAGTGGTCATTTCTGCATAACCACTACTTAGTACTAAAGCCATCTTTGCTCTATATACCATTTTTATACGGAATAATTCAGAAAACGTTTATCTGATAATTTTGTTCACGTTTTCTCAAATGTAGGTATGATATTGGTTCGCATTACGTATTTGTGGGTGATAGTAGTGGTCGCATAACTCTTCTAAGCATTAATCAAATGAACGGCCAGGTGCAGTGTCGAGTCATTCGTGAACTTCGTGGCCATGAGCAGTCAGTAACGTATTTGGCTTGGGACAGCGCGAATTCGCGTTTATTTTCTTGCAGCACAGATCATTCTGTTATCTTTTGGGATATTGGTGGGGCTAAAGGTTCAGCTTTTGAACTGCAGGTGAGTGTTTATTGTCCCTAAATTTACTATGTAGCTGTTATTTCGTTTTCTAATTCAGAAGATTTAATATTCATTTATCCTCATCAACCCTTCTGGTAGCCGACGAAGTCTTTGCAAGAATAAAAATGGATTGATTATTTTTATTGAACTTACACCACTTAGCACTGGTATAGTATTCGTATGTCGTTTGAAGGGTGAGTACATTATGCAACAGTCCTCTTTGTTTCAATATGTAGCCTTGAAACAGCCAGTAAGGATACCGTATAAGAGAAGGCTTAATATCTCTGACCACCCTTTGGCTCCGTGTTGTTGTTGGCATGTAGTAAGCAAAGATACTGGCTAAGCATACGCGGAAGTCAAACCGTGCATTTATTGCTTATCATCTTCGGTGGATTGAGCAACCAGGTAGTATTATTATCTCAGTGTGTGGCTCATTGCCTAGTGCGTCGGCGTACACAATTGCTGAATTATGTCAAGCATACCATCTGATTCGGATAAATTTTGGGGAATGTTTCACTTGCTTTTGTATGATCCGCAGTAATTGTGTGTTTGTAAGATGAAGTTAAAGTTGATCTTAAACGGGGTAGAAATACAGACAGGAGTATTTGTTGGGTGTGTCAATGGATCATACTTAATCAGTAGTAATTAGCCGTTTCTTAATCCGACAGGAACTTGCAGTTGGTAATTATCTTTATTGTTATGCAGGAAAGTGAAAATATTGTGCTCTTATTGCTGTTTTATTTGATCGTTAATATTTCATAGCCATCCTTGACTGCACAAATAATCTGAGAATTTTTTATGTCTATGATAATTGAAAAGCTGAATGGTCTGGTAAAAGAGGTACGGAAATGGGTGGAAAAACAAATTTTGAATACGCTATATTAAACTCCGATATTAACGATTATATTTGCAGGCAGCATCAACAATAGGACCTGGGATTAATCACTGCGTAACGGTCCATTTTATCACACCTCACATAAGCACATCAAGCAAGAATGCACCGGGATGAAAAAGAAAGAAAGAAAGCTATCAAAATGAGGGAAAGTCGTAAAAGGAGAACAATAAGATGTAAAACAGTGATGAAATCCGGTATGAGGATTAAGATCAAAATTTATTTGCGCCACTAAGATAGATTCTGAACCACATCACCTAGAGTTTTCAACTACTGGTTCTGATTGTCACAGAGACCACAATCAGCAAGTCTACATTTCCCTAGTCAAAGACTGCTGTGAATAATGGCATGTCTCATTTTGGCCACCTTTAGCCCTTTTTTAAACTGAACGTACTTCAACTAACATTGTGCAATGGAGTAGATGATGACTATGCACGTTCAAGACGTGTCCTATTCAGTCGATAAGGGTTCAAAAGTTCATTAATTGACTTTCCTCTTGATTATATTTGGGTATTGTCAGCTCTACCTTTCGATATTTTTTTTTACACATTATGCTTGCTTGAAATAGAGAAAGTAAGCATACATTTACGGTATACAGTTTAATGCTTCTTTTTATTGTTCTTGGTTTTACTGGGAATTGGCTACAGTCAACAAGATCCATCCACTTCCTATCGTTCAATAAGTCTTGAACATTTTTTCGTTTTGTCCTCTCTCTTACTATTTCCCCCACCTACTTCTGTTTTCTTCATTAACATGGATATCATTATTTTAATACATATGTTTTCTGTGTTGATCACCAATTGGGCATGTTAGAGCCTATGGTGAGATATCCAGAGAGCTATGCTCACACAAGGCCAAAAGGCAGCTATGACTCATCTTGAGTATTTTAACCTTCATCTAGTTATTTCGCCTCCGGGTGCCTATTTGTCTAGTTTGACAGTAATTTTTCTGTAGATGTCTTCGTTGCATCCTGCTGTAAGGTGTGAACCTTCAACCTATGCACTTCTGTTCAAAGTTCTACGTTGATCTCATCTTCTGAATAAGTTTTTTTAAAGGGTAAAATAATATCAGGTGAGGTATGATACGCGGATTGAGGTTTAAGCGCTTAGCGTCTTATATTTTGCGATCAACTTAATTTCTGAATAGTCATATGTGAATACTGTCCTGTTTAACTTTACCACCACACTTAATTTTACTAATAATCTCTTCAACATTACAAAGTGATTTTCCTGTTTGTGAACTGACGTTTTATAATAGTTCTTCATAATCTTACAAAGAAATGTTATTGTATACGATGCACATGAACAAGATGTTAAAAAATTTTAATTAAGGGACATACCAAGGATGTATCATCAATATACTGGTGGAGTATGGGCAATTCTCTATCGAATATCAAGGACAGTAAATATAAAGGATTACTTATATCTGGTGGTCTGGATGGGTATCTTATTTTCTGGATGATGGACCCTTCACGTGTAGAAAGTCCAAACTGGTCTGAGTCAGATATTTGCCATATTTGTGGTGGCCCATTTTTCTGGAATGTTCGTAAGATGTGGAACAATATGTCAGTTGGTGTACGCCAGGTATGCGATGGGAATATAGCACATTTATTGAACATAACATTTTACTGTATATTTCGGTTTTATTTTTGAGTATACTTGTTTTTATTTTCGTATTCACCTGAAACCTTAGATTTATTTCCATAATTTTTTTTTATTAAGAGTGACTTAATCAACACTTGTTGAGCCGCAAAACTTATATTTTTATTAGCCACCATTTCAAGGGGAATGAAAAGTCTCTTGATAATTCCTCTCTCCTTCATTGTTTTAGAAAACACGTAACAACATTTTCGTATGAGTATATAGATTTGGTCAACGATTTGTTGTAAGTATTTTGATTGCTAATTTGTTAAATAAGACAAAAAAATTACAAGAACCACAGGTGCACAAGATTACTCGATACGCTAAAACCTTGAGATCGAAATTTTTTAATCATTTGACCACTTTTTAGGATCAACCGATCAGAAAAGCTAGAAAGAATTGATCACATTATTGTTCTGCTGAGTTTAAGGTACTTTTACGGATAAAGTTTTACTTAGAGGTGTCTGATTTCCATCGAATAGATTTTCTATCACTGTTCACTACTAAAGTGTGTCTGCTTGTCTTGAAAGCTCCACACTTGTGTTCTTAATTACTTTGTTTGTCTGTATTAATGTATACAACGCGTGATGTTCTTATAAGTTCAACGTTTTGGCTATGTCAACTTTTAGTTTTGACATCTTCCTCAAAACTAACTTATTATTTGTTCCGAAGTTCGTGATAACTACAGATCCCCTCCTATATCTGTAAAGTTATCAATATCTTGCATCTGAATCCAGTCTTTTATCGCTGTGTGAATAAAAAGAAATGTAGTTTCACTCCATCAAATAATAATCTAATTTTGTATAGCACGGATCAGTTCTAGGTGATCATACTGCGAATCGGAAGTAATAAGAACAGTCTGAATGTTTTGTTATCTTCAATCGCTTCTTTTGCTACATTTTATTATCAGATAATATATTATCGATTATCAGATCTTACGGAAATATTCTAGGATCTATGGTTATCTAACGCCTAACTGAAGCTCGAGAAAACCAGACGAGTTTCAAACCTTGACGAGAGTGCATTGATCAAATCCTCACCCTTCTACGGGCTCTAGAACACAGGCATACTTACTGGCTGTCGACATTTGCCACATCTCGACCTGAAGGCGGCACTCAACTCTGTTGACCTAAAGGTGTTTTGTTAGTGTCTGACAGAAGAAAGTACCGAAAAAGTATGTACTGTTAATCAAAGTTGTCTACTCAAACTCACGAAGCTGTGTAAGGATTTATTGGGAGTTGTCACCTGAAGTAACACCTTCCAGTGGTGTTTGCTGTCACTATTCTTGTTTAACTTCTTTATATACGTGGTAGTGGATATAATATCCGACTTCTCAGCGGTTGATTCACCCTGAGGAGGGCATCTAGTTGACTTTAGAGTACACAAGCGACATTGTCGTGTTAGGCGAAGAAGCTGACAAAATGCAGTCAGGTCGCGTATAGAGGATTTGTGCAGTACTCGCCAACTTCCGTCATCTCTGGCGCCGACGAGATATCCAGTTACACATCAAAGGACGAGTATACTGCGCTGCAGTTCGCTTTGTCTTATTATACGATTGTGAGACATGGTGCTAAAGGTAGGTGTAAAGCGATTACGGGTTTTCAAAAACATGTGTCTTTCTAGCATTACTGGCATATTGTGCAATCATCACGCGAGCAGATTTGAAGTTAGGCCAGAACACCGGATTAGTCCATGGCGTTGTCGACGGTTGGTGTAGGCAAGTGTTAGTCTGCTGTCTGTAGGTTTTAAGACAGTTTAAGAAGATAGTATTTTCCAAAAGTTGATTCTAGTGATGGATATATCTAAAGCACCGCTGTTATCTTTGCAGTTTTTCGTCTCGTGGTTTCTCACTTCACTTTGGTTAACCAGAACACTGATATGTAAATTGTCTCCTTTCTATCGCTCTTTTCTTTTACTTCCCAAACAGACGTGTAAAAATGTTAAATGACTGGTTTTCCCAACTTATTTATTAATGGTTTCATCTGTACATTTCACCGTTAAGCGCTAGATTTGATAATACTTCTCGGTACTTTTTTTATGTATCGCATTCGGGTATTATTTAGTGCTCCCCTATAGAAGTCATCAACAAGTGTCGTATTTTGTAATTATTTCGCTAACTGGATAGCACACACTTCTGTTTTCTGGGGCTTGGTTGGTAACGGTGTCTTCCCTGTTCTAAATAAATATAATCTTACGTGTGGACTCCCGAGTTATTATCGTATTATGTAAAAACTTAACGAATTATTTGGTGTCCTTGACAGACATAAGAAATACCAGTTAGTATCGTCTTCAACCATTCCTTTGGTGGATGGTTTTATTTAACCTAAGTAGTAATCAGTTTTGTATGATTGTGACAAAATTTCATACTAGGGTAAAACTGCTTGGATTTCCGGTAATGTGGAATTCAAAATTTGTTTCTGCTATTTCCAGCATCACTGTCGTCGCTGTGGGCAGGCGGTCTGCGACAAATGTTCACCTTACCGTTCAACTCTACCATGTATGGGTTTTGAAAAAGACGTTCGTATATGCAGTCAGTGCTTCCCTTCAATAACAGACGCGGAGTAAGTATTTCTTGTATTATAATCAGACTATGTTTTCCATAATTAGCATGTGTTGTTGTATGTCTGGGACAAATTACATACAGTTAAGGAAGCAAGAAAACAGATACGAAGAAAGGGATGTTTATTATCAGCAAGTGGGACAGTAGTCGTTAAACATGGTACACCTTGCACTAAAACTGTCATTTGCAAAATGTGCTTCATTTCCTCCTCTGCTTCTCGCTTGATTTGCTCTTCATACGCCTGCGTTATCTCTTGGGTTTCTTTTTTCAGACTCCTTACTTTTTGCTGGTAGTTCCCTGTGATTTCTGCCACCCTCTCAACATATACTACTTATATCCATTCTTTTCAGCAACGCCCACTACAACAGTGCTGCTTCTTACCCTTTTCAGTCAAAGTTTAAACTGGTCAATAAAATTGATCTGTCAGTAATACACGTCATAATATGCCGAGGATTGAACGCAACATTTTGGTGCGTTCAAGATACGTAAATTGAACAGACGTAGGTTTTTACAAATTTCTAAACTAAGACAACAATTTCATACACAAAAGATACTGTGGATTGTAAACACTTAGCTGGTAGTTTATATGTGCGTCTTTACGACTTTATTCTAGTGTCTACAACTATAATGTCTGTTCTTAAAATGAGTGGTTTTATGCTGGATAATTTTCTTAGTTTATAGTAGTCATGAGTAGGCTGATATCCCTTTTGAATTTTTTTTACAGTCGTCGTAGTTTGGCCGTTTTGTTTGATGCACGTCATCCAGTTACATGTGTTCGTGTGGAAGAATCTTTGAATTTACTTCTTACGATCGGAAAAGATCGAGTCATCAAGGTAACTACATTATTCGGGTACTTTCTTTCACAGCAATTAAGTAAAACTTTATTCTGGATATATATATATATATGTATATATATATAAAGCCTAATATCTGTCACAGAGTTTGCGTTCGTATTTGTGACACCCAAGTAGGTAAACATCTTGGTTTCCAGAAGAAGTTGTGGTGGAAATTCTCACTCAGGTCATATCTAGGTGTCATTTTCATCTCGATTTGTAAGCACTGCAGACATTTATCTTGATTTTATATTGAACACCCTAGTCTCAACTTACAACAGCATTATGATCAACTTTGCTTTTATTTTTTATTCCCAGGTGTGGGATATCAAAGCCTTCTCTTCAAGTTCCCGTACATGAGTTCTTGATCCTGCTAATAATATTTTCGTGTGATTCACTGACATAATTATTTCTCACCTTCAATCGTGCATACACCCCAGTGATTTTGAAAGACACTTTTATTACCTCCACATTGCGTGTCATATATTTCTTCAGATCTGTTTTACTATATTTATATTCGATCTCTGACCATTTATAAATATATGAGCATACTTGCTTTACAGCCAATTTATAATTTCATTCCTTGCGAAGTTATTTAAATTATTGTACATATTAAATATCCTGTTGTCTTTCTAATTTAATCGAAAATGTCTGATGTAAAACCCTTGTTGAATACTTAAGTTGGTCCTTCATATGTTGTTTTCACAGTGCAATTAATAGTAGTCAGTATTATTGAGAGAGATTTCAATTTATCCAGGCACCTAAGTCCAAAAGGATAACGCCAGTGTGTGGATTCTGCAACCATCATCAACATAGGACCAGGCATTACTGCGTAACGGTCCCAGTTGCCACACTTCATATCAATACATCAAGTGAAAAGGGAGTGAAGTGCAAGATTAAGATAAGAAAATTCAGCAAACCTATTACTTCCCTGTCAGGATTACTGTGATTTCTTTTGTGGGTTCAACTTATTCAACAACTGTACCTCATTTTCAAACTAGGAGTTGCTACAAATCACTGTATTATTACTACCTAGCACTTAGAAGACATCACTTTAGTCATCATCCTCACCCAACAGGTATGCGGGCGCATGATACTACCTGGTTGTCTGGATTGAAGTACATGGTGCGGGATTTGAATTCAGGATATACCACTTGAGTCAAGTGCTTGAGCCGTATCGCAGTGAGAGTAGTCTGTGAGGATCAGTCGGGAGGAATATATATTTTCTATCCATATCCTTAACACAGCCGATTGACAATGGCGAAAATGAATTACTCCACCGGAAACCGTCTCCACAAGTTTTATGCGACTGTGAAACCTCCTGTAGAAAAACGCATTCAGAAACCATATGCACGTTCGTGCAATGGGCCACACCTCTGCATGTGAGTTAACTTTCTCACCTCGCTGGTAAGTGGAGCGGGACTCGGACCCATGACCCATCGGTTGCAAGTTAAATGCCTAGACAAATGATCCACATCGCTTTGTAACCAAGAAATACGGTTGAGGTTCCGTAACCGTAGATATTCTGGATTACGGTAAAGGGCTGACTAACACACTATCGCTTGAGATAGCTTTCTTTCTAACTGCATCCCAGTTTATTTGTGAAACTGTGTTGATTGTAGATGCATATTAACAAAGAATTATGTAAGTTAGTTTAACTGCTCTATAGTGTCCAAAGTTTTCAATCGGTAGGATTGGGACCAGTTTGAATGGACTGCGTGAGTCGTCCCGACCAATACCTTACTTGGTTTTCCTATTCTAGAGTGCTATTTCCAAAAAAATATCAAGATGACTAGTCATGACATAGATCATTTTACCAAGGCTTACAATATGGAACTAAGATGCAAGTGGATCCCATCATTCGAAACTAACTGTTGCTTTTCGATCTATACTGGAAGTTTTCTTTTAAAATAACATTGAATAATAGATATATTTATTAAGTAATGTTTTAAAAATGTAATTTTCAACCTTCTGACAATTAAAACGTAATCTAAGTGACACTGGGGGAAATTTCGGTTTTCTGTACTGTTTTCATGACATCTAAAACCTGACCATCGAATTATTTTGGGAAAGTATAGTCATTATATAAGTGATTTCAAATGTTTGTACATAAACACGTACGGTAACACTCGAGTCGTCGAGATATTTATAATTTATCAATTCAGCACTACAGCTGTTCTGATTACTGCTTCAGTGGAAGTATCGCTTATACGAATATGTTATGATCAGTTTTCATTAGTCACCGAGGAGGCAAACGTATGAACTTCAATTATGTCGTACGCAAATGAGCTTCTATTTTAACGGTTGCATGAAGAAGTTACTAGTATCAGCAGTTGCTGTGACGGAGATGAACAGTAATGGGTGCTAAAACCAAACAGATCACGGTGATTAAAACTGGACTCGTCTTCTGAAACTTGCTAAACAGACGGGTTTATAACTGTTATTTGTATGACTTGTTGAAATGTGCGGTTACAGTAGGTTTTCGGTCCTACAATAATAACGTCTAGTTTGAGTGACTGACTCTGCAGTGCCATCAGTTAGATTTAACTGACAGACCACAGAAGAAATAGAATATGGCCGCAACAAACTTGTCCTTAGTAGGTTTCAGACAACTGCTACGAAGTTTAAATGGCATGAAACCTATAAAACGACACCTTGAACATTGTGATCGTAAATACAGATGTGAGTGGAATGTAGAAACCTCACACTACACTGTTTCGTCTCTCCAGCAGGAGAGCTATTTGAAGACATTACACCAGTAGCAGTTACTATTAGGACCGTTGACTTCGTTGATGCAGTTCGTGAACGAGTAATCTCTCTCCAGTGATGAAGACCTAATTGAGAAGATACACTTCGCTGAACACGTCTTTACTTTATATATATAAAGACGTGTTCAGCGAAGTGTATCTTCTCAATTAGGTCTTCATCATTGGATCTGCACTGATATACAGGTTTTACTTTGATTAACAAGATACCGTTTAGTGATGGTGGTAGGTTAATTAACTAAAATAATTGCAATATCAAGGTTACTCTGGAATTCAGTAATTAGAAAAGGAAGATAAAAACTGAATACAGTAACTACATAGACACCGAGAAAGATTAAAGTAGGTTCTAGCACAGAAGTGCACCAGTCCAAGCTTCCACACTTCACGCCAGCATCTAAAGAACAAGTGGACGGAAAAAGACTGATATCGAATCAGAAAAAGATGTTTGGAAGGAAAAGAGATCTGAAAATGACGGTTCATGAAGAGGTTAAAATTTTAAAAAACGTCAAAGAGTGAACAATACATCTGCACCATTGTGTCCGATTTCCAACCATATCACCAAGTATCCCAAACATTGATTCCTATCGTCCCAAGGATCTTAACCAAGCAGTATACACCTCCGCACACGACTGCGATCAACAGTGAGAGAATTGATGGACTGATGTCACGAGTTAGAGTTCTGGACAATATTATTGTCCTACCAGGTGAAGACTTTGACAATTTGCAGTCATCTGAGTGTCCAGCTTATGGTTTGCACCTTGTCTAGTGTAATATGGTGCTTCCGGACTGGTCTGCATTGTCTCCTAATTTAAAACTAGAGAATGAAGTAATGAGATGTGGTGACCATCTCACTTATTTTGAAAGCTGTGTCAGCCAAAATGGATTGGCTTCTGACAAAATCTCAGCTCGGATGCGAAAGGCGGGTTCGGTATTTGTCGACTTACGCTATCCTTGACACTGGCTAGAGATCCGACTACACATCGAAGGACTAGTAGACTGCAACGGTTCGCTCTGTCTTATTACACGTTTTTATGAGACCTAGCTGCTAAGAGTAGACGAGGAGCGGTTACAGGTTTTCGAACACACGTATCTTCGTATCGTTACTCACGTATTGTGTTATAATTATCAGAACACTTACTAGGTTGAATATCTGCACCATACTAGATGATAAAATGACTTTCTGAAGGCAGAAAACTGAATAGAAGTGAAATATTAAAAAAGGAGTCTCGCAGACACTTTCGAAGAATTGAGTGTTTCGTTTTACTTTTTAGTATCAGGAAATCAAGAAAGCTGCATTAGGATTGCTGCTTGTTTTGGTTTTGAGTCATTCTTGATATTGTCTCAGACCACTGAGTTGTGCGATCCCTCGAACCCCAAACAACTGCCTTTTGTCTTGCGACGCAACTCCGTACACCTGTTATTTATCCGCTTCTTTCAACCAGTTACAGGGCAAGCGATGTAAGAGCCGCCCGGACGACATGCGTAATACGTTCATGCGACCAAAGACGATTTTCATGACCACACAATGGATGACGACCTCCATCACGCCACTTCACCTCAGAATTCCTTACGTGGTATTTCTCATGGGTGGGAGCAAGTTTGTGAAAACAGCGGTAGTTAAAAACGCAGGGCCGTCGGGCATGATCAACTCCGACAGGCTGGACCAGTTCTGAAGCATCAAATTACGCCTGACAAGTCCAAACCATACACAAAACATACTAAGATTTCTGCCCAACACGTTCAGAGGGCTCTGACTTTTGTTAGTATCTTCATATAGTAGGACAATATCGTCTGCGCACTCTAAGTCAACCAGCTGCCTCCCAAGAAGCAGATCAATCATTGTGAGTTCAGACGTACCTACGGCTATGTCTATTAGTACTTCGGAAAGGAAGTTCACTGGGAGCGATGATAGTGGGCATCCCTGACGGACACCACTAGTTGTGGTCGCTTTAGATGAGAAATCCCTATAGGCGTGAGTTCGAATATAGAGCTTTGATTAGCGTTGTGCACTGGCTCGGTACTCTTTTCGTAGTCAGACTGCCACAACACCTCACGGTTAAAGGAGTTGAATGCAGTCTTCAGGTCTAGAAGTATGGCAAGTATCTACCACCGGCAGGTATGCCTGGACTCCAGAACCTGTCGAAGGGTGAAAATCTGGTTGATGAGTCCTCGTCCGTATCTGAAACATGCCTGGTTTTCTCAAGCTTGCTGTTATCAAGATCCAGTTAGGCGCCGAATGACTGTAAACAAAAGAATTTTGCACACGATCTTAGTTAAACTGATTTCTCTATGGTTTTTACACAAAGACTTCTCTCCCTTCTCACTGACTAGAATTATCAGTGAAGTAGACCAGTCTGATAGCAATATCTCTGATTTTCATACCCTTATTAGTACCTCCGTCACTCTACTCAGTAATTTCCTTAAAAGCCTTTTGTGGCAAACCGTCAGCTTCTGCTGCTTTGTATCCTCTCAGTTTCCAGACAGCCTTCTCACCTTCGACGGGTTGGAGGACCGACATTTACGTCCCATTCAGGTTCGGGTTGAATACTGGGCGACTGAAAGCCAATTAGGTCGTTCTTCAAAGCATTCCGCCCAACTTATTAGTCGCCTGACCTGAGAGGTCACCAAGAACACATTCTTCTCAGTGGTGGTTTTACCAATCATCTTCTTTTCGCCATTATTCTTAATAAGCCCAAACAATTGCTGAGTATAACTCACACTGATGCCTTCTTCAACTCTCTCGCTTTTGTCATGAGCCGCTGCTAGCGGTCATTACGAAGAATCTTAGTCGAATCATGTTCGAGCTATCTTCGCTCCTCATAACGGTCAGAGCCAGGTGAAATGAATTTAGTATCAATTAGTTCGGATGAGGTTCTAAAAATCTACTGGCTTTTGGTAACCTTCGGACTTAAGTTACCACCTGTCTTTACCTCTGTTTCGATAACAGACTGAATATCACACCAGGCTTCCTTAGGATGGAAACCACTGTCACTTCCAGGTAAATGCTTGGCTATCTCCTCCCTAAATATGCAGTTGAGGTTAACATCTTTCAGTAGAGCACATCTGTCTCCTGCAACCAGTAGGCTGCAGACATATACATGTCCATAACAGAGTGACCAGAGTCCATAAAATTATTCAAGTAATAGAAGCAACCTCCTAACGATGCCTTATAACAATACCATCTATCTACATCTACCGTTGGTTTGATGTCAGCTGACGAGGTTAGTGGTTAATAGAAACAAATGTTTGTCAGGACGAAATCGCAACAGATGATTACCGTTATCGGTTCATTGGAACGGGATTCCGTAGATGCCTTTTCGATTGTCTTATGCTTCTTACTTCATCAGTCAATTTGCCTGCTAGAATGACTATATCTGGATGTTTTGCTCTCTGTTGGAAAATTGACAGCTTTAATACGACTCATTCTTTACATCATCCGAACTACAGTTAGTGGGCGCGTAGAATACGAATAGGCATCAGCAAACCTCATCACCCGTCTTACAAATGCATTCAGTCGGACAGCCCATAAATAGTTATTGACTAGTACCCAGTTGAGAAGTGCGTTCTTTGCCTGAGAGCCTAATGCTATACCTGCACCAGCAAGTCTATGGGAGCTAGTTATTGGAACTCCAGTAACTAGTAACGTGACTTTGAAGATTTCCTGCACTGACCAGGTGAGGTTAAATGAATAACTACACTAGGGTTCTGTCTGTCTCAGAAACAGCGTACTATATGGGACTGTACTAAAGTTTTCTTTCATAAAGGTCCTCTTCCCTGTTCAGCTTCTATTGTCTCTTTATTTTCCAGCCTCCGTGCTGTTATGTAATTTTTAACCGTTGAGACGTGACCATTTGCTTCAATTTCTTTAATTTTCATGTTGATTGTTATGTAAACAATCAACTGACAACCTGTTTTGCGTTATTTGCCACTCCTATGAATCTTATATAGTTAACATATGCACCAACTTCTTCTTTCTCTAATTATTGGTTTCACGAGTAACTTTGGTATTATAAGTGTATTACATGGACATTGTGGTAGAATATGATTCCATGTGTTTGATATGGCATACACTATTATATACTTGATGACGTTTCGAGCATGAATTGTTACTCATAATTATATCATATCACATTACATTGATATGACTATGAGCAATAATTTATGCTCGAAACATCAAGTAAATAATACCACATCAGTGTGTGCCATATCAGATAAAAAAATCTAATACAGACTACGTTTGGTATTGTAATTGTTTTAGTTAAGTAACCCACCACTACTAGTTTTTTGTTAATAAAAGTAAAACTCATGTATTAGCGTAGACCCGATGAAGATCTAATTGAAAAGAAATAGTGTGAGAACAACAAATCTCTATACTTTATTTATTTACTTCAAGTGGTCAGGATAGGATAGACAGTACTTTAAACGTTTTTCAGCAAAGGAAATGTCTATTTCATCTTGCATTAAGGGCAGAAATGTAGGAGATCCGTAACCAAGGATTACCGTTGATGTGGTTTTTTCCAAATGTTCCAATTGCTTCCTAACATATTTAACAAGTATTTCCATTTCCTGGAAGGTAGTTGTGGGTGTGCAAAACCATACATTAGTCCATAATGCTGCGGCTAAATGTGAGTCACAACAGGATAGTAATGCTTCATCATATGCGAACATGCTTCCAAAGTACTGAGTTCGAAAGATTTTGATCTGTTTTAACTTCCCCGTCAAAACATTGAATGCAGATAACCTCCTACTCATGTCTCCCCAAAGTGCCTAGGAAATATTAGGTAAATAAAACAGAGACACTACTTTATCCATCCATTTTTTCATCAAATATCCTTCTTTTCCTTCTTGACGTAGACGAACATAACACATCCACATGTGCAAAACAGTCAGAGAGAACCATGTTTGAAATGTGTCTGGGAGTTTAAGATGTTGCACGAAGTGTTCGAACACAGGATATTCAGCGCAGACTACAAACAGGTTTTCACCAGAAATGCAAAGGGTTGTTCGAGGATACCGGAGATCACTACGGAACCCAAGCCAATATTTCGTTTTGTCCAACACTGTTGGCCGAATAAAGTTTGGCTTATATTGATGTGAAAATCGAGCTGAGGCATAAGTAGTGTTGCGCCACAAATTGAGAATTTTCAGATTTTGTGAACTCATGTATAAAAGAGTAAAGTCAAAAGTCTGATGTGGTATTTAGTGTCTGTTTCCCCTTTGTTTTAGTTTGAAATAGTTGACGGGTGCTGCAGTAGTAAATTTCAGTTGTTAATATCTGTAGGATATACGTAACATTCGACCAACATCTGAGGGGGTGGACTTTTGATTATTTTTAGCGGCTTTCCTGGATGAAACAGAAAATAAAATTACATATTGTCTATTAGTCGTATATACACTTGGAGGCTTCAAGAAATGGCATCAATCCAAAAATTCTATGAAGGCTGGTTTAAATCATTTAGGGAGATGTATGTTTGGTAGCGTGGGCCATTAAGATGACAAAAATCGATGAATAAAAACGTTCAAAATCCTAAATGTGACAAAGTGAGTACACCTGCACCAGTGTGACTCATTATAAGGCATGATACCGATAGTATTGAGTTTGATTCCTAAGGGTCTAACCGGGTAACATATGTCTCAAACCAGTAACCAGAGGATTAACGGATTATTTTCATATCTAAAACTAGCAATCCCTAGCTTTTTTCTGATTCAGTACCATTCAAATTAGTATTGCGGGTCTAAGTGGTGGCATGGAATTTTGCAGGAAATCCTTGTACGCATGACCTCAACGTTGCTGTTTTTAGTATTTGCCATCAATGCTACGGAGATAACTCTGATTAAAACTTAACAACCCTTCACGTGTCTTGCCCTCAACAACGAGGTCTCTCCTTGTCTTCTTGCTATTTTATGACCTAAAGAGAATTTCTTAGTTCAATTAAAATTTACAAGTTAGAGTTTAGGAAGTTATAGTTACCTTTTGACAACAGAGTGAACAGTTCATTGATAAATCATATAAATTACTAATCTGTCCCTGATTTCTTTGACTTCGAGCAAAGAAGAGAGCCTTGTGTGGGGCTGTGGCTCACCAGTTTAAGGAGATGACTTTCAACCAGTGGGTCACAAGTTCGAGCCTTGCTTCACCTACCAACGTTTGGGCAGTTAGGCAGCATCACTAGCGGTTACACAATAGATGTGGCCCATTGACTACTGCACGAATGTGTACAAGGTTGCTGACTTTTTTTAAAGCCTTGTAGGCTTGATGGCAAGAGTGAAACTATCATTTAAAACTTTTTTCTGATCATGACTACTGCATACGTAAATAATATAAGAGAAATATTTATGTTTGATGGTACTAAGGATAGATCAAGGTCACTTAACGGATTGCTTAGGTTTAGTATGATATTTTGTTATTACCAAAACACGCTATCAATAACTTGATCTATTACCTGTTCTACGGGGTTGTAATAAACAAATTTCTTCGCTCTCGATTGTAAGTCTTGCGGAACGGTTCCACGTTTCACATAAGTTCCGATCCAGTAGCTCCATCCTTTCGCCTGCTGTAGCTATGGTAAGCCGATGGGTGGTTGAGTGTTGGTTAAGTTAATAGGGAAGTGTATGATTTTTTCTGGGAGTGCAATGCAGATGGGCTCCTCAAATTTCGTGTCGCCAGGGTTGTTCAAACTGGTCGTAAAATGGAGGATAATGAAAAGAAAATCAGGGAGAACAAAGGATAGAAAGGGAGAAAAGTGAAAGGAAATCAGAATGAAAGGGAAGGAGGAATCCTGGTAGGTTAGCATAAGATGAGGAAGAAAACAGTGACATAGAGAACCTTAACGAACAGGGTGAAACCTTATAAAGTCAGACAGAGGGAAAGAAGCAATGGGGAGTTGACTTTCAACCAGTGGGTTACGATTTCAAACACGACTCCATCTATCGAGGTTGGGCAGCCAGGTAGTATCACACAATAGGTGTGGCTCGTTGCCCACTGCGAAAATGAGCACAGGGTTGCTGAGAGGACTTCGACTATAGTAGGGATAATACAGAGATGACGATATTAGTGGTCGTATGATAATCGAAGAGGAAAGAAGTCTGATATGGAGGAACAAGAACAAGTCCAGTTAATGATAATGGTGGTAAAACAATAGAATCAGTATGTAGGCAACTGTGTTGGAATGATGTGGAATCAGTTGGTTTCTTCGGCCTAGTCAGTATCCCAACTGGATGAGTACAAGTCACGTGTCACTGAGTAGCTGTCGACAGATGGAGTGATAGTAACCTCGGTAGGTAATGCGTTTCAGAGGTAAACTCAAAAAGAGGGAAAGTATGTGCGCTCTTTGGCAGGTGATACCCTTTGGGTTTCCACGAGGATTGCCAATGTGACAGTTCGATAAAATTCCACTGGTATGATGACTTGGAAGACGTAATATCTTGCAGACTGTTACCAAGTAACCACGTAACCTACGGTAACTGATTAGTGGCACTTAAGAATTTGGATGGCTGAGTAATTTCTGTTTTACAAGTTAAAATTAAGCTAATATGCCTTAAAAGTCGAACCATTCAGCATTTTATCTAATTCGTATTCTAATTCCTAGTTTTATTTACTAAACTTCGATTCCTAAATTGAGATGACTGTTCTTGACTGTAACTCTTGGTGCCAAAGAAAGATACTCAGTTTTTACCCCCACAAGCTTTAATAGAGCGAATTTTCCATTCAATGTCATTACGAAATATCAGTTTCCCTAAAATTTCAAAAAATCCAACACACAAACCACTTGCTTCTGATTAAACCTTCGAGAAAATCTAGGACGGTAGAATCCTTTAGGCCTACTATCTGTAAGCCCACACTGAGACATCTAGTGAGCATCAGGTCTGTTATAGGTCATCTGACAACTTGGCATTTTTATTGCCTTAGAAACCTCAAGAGGCAAGCAGAGTGATTTTATGTCGCTATCGCCTTGTAATTCTAACTAGTATAGTTATTAAGGCTTTGGAAAAAATAATTCGTGATAAAGTACTTAACCATGTTGAATCAAATGATCTTTTCGCACCATAGCAATATGGTTTTCGTACTGGACACTCCTATTAAACAAAACTCTTGATCGCGAGAGAGGAGTGGTTTGCAGCCCGTGATTGCAAACTGCTAGTAGATTCCGTTTTCAAAGATTTCAGTAAGGCTATTGATAAGTGTCTCATGTAAAGTTACTAGGGAAGCTCTCTTTGAGGTTCGATACTACACCACAAGCCTGGATTATGGACCTTCTGTAAGACAGAAGGCAGGGTGAGGGTTAATGGGACACTTTCCAGGTCGAAACTTGTTATAAGTGGAGTTCCTCAAGGAACAATCCTAGGTGTCCCCTTTTCTTGTTGTTTCGACGAATTACCATATGCTCAACTCTTCAGTGCTGCTATTTGCCAATAATATTAAAGTCTGATAGATATGGTTTTCAATCGGATTTGGATGAATTGGTAAGTTGGTGTAAACGGTGGTGTCTGGGAATTAACTCTCGTAAAATTACTGTCAATTGAGCGTCAATCTGCGTTTCTCCGATCGTATGATCAACGACCTTAGTTTGCAATAGTAACGATAGTAGGTCAGTTTTTCTGTGTTAATCCTTGAAGTAGATATCTCCCTGGAAATCTAATTTCTCTTTCAACGGACTGACTGAAGGTGATATTGCCTGCTGCGGTAAGTTTCTATCGTTGACCAAATAATGGGAGAAATGCAGATTCACGCTAAGTTTATTCGAACACGGGTTTCCGACTTCCCTGTGTTGGCATTGGGGATAACCAATCCTAGCAGAAGAGAAAAAGACTTACTAGTACTGAAGTTATTATTAGGAGATATGGAATGCCAACATGAGAACACCTCTTTTCCTAAGGTTGGACAGCGAGAATAAGTCTAATCGATCTAATCATTTCTCATAGGGGAGAATCGAAAGGCCGATTACACGCTTAGTACCTACCCTTTGCACACGATCGAGTACATCAGCATCCTATTTTAGGCATGGACTGGCAGCCTGAGGTCTAACGTATATATATAAGAGTATCCTGGTGGTGGAGCATAATATTCAGAAGCCTCTGCTGCACCTGCATTAGTGCCGAGGTTTTCAAGTCATGGCTTATGATGTCACCGAATTCTGTAAGTTGGAAGACCAGGGGTACTGGTGTATCATCAACGGAATACTGATAACGGTTTCTATGAGGAATCTGCATCACTGCACTTCCACTAGAGTTGATTCCCAAACACCACCGTTTACACCAACTTACCAATTCATCCAAATCCGATTGAAAACCATATCTATCAGACTTTAATATTATTGGCAAATAGCAGCACTGAAGAGTTGAGCATATGGTAATTCGTCGAAACAACAAGAAAAGGGGACACCTAGGATTGTTCCTTGAGGAACTCCACTTATAACAAGTTTCGACCTGGAAAGTGTCCCATTAACCCTCACCCTGCCTTCTGTCTTACAGAAGGTCCATAATCCAGGCTTGTGGTGTAGTATCGAACCTCAAAGAGAGCTTCCCTAGTAACTTTACATGAGACACTTATCAATAGCCTTACTGAAATCTTTGAAAACGGAATCTACTAGCAGTTTGCAATCACGGGCTGCAAACCACTCCTCTCTCGCGATCAAGAGTTTTGTTTAATAGGAGTGTCCAGTACGAAAACCGTATCGCTGTGGTGCCAGATTACATACGACATTTAGAAGGCCATGTTAAGAAAAAAAACCTTCATAAAACCGAAAACGTTCTCAGACATCAACCTTAAGCCTTGAAAATGATGAGTCGAAGGGTTAACTGAATTCCTTCGAGTCAAGGTTTAACAGAAACCCTCTGATGTGGCCTACAAAACAAAAGCGTAGAGAAATTCCCAAATTGTTAAAGTGTGCTCAAACTTCAAGCCGAAAATTCCGTAAAAATTATTACTGAACTAGATTTGTGGTTATTCAACAAGTGTCTGCGAAAGTCGCCCGACTATATACTGTAGTGACCAATTTGATTCTTATAAGTTAAGAAGGCTACCCTTGCAACTGAAATATAGAAAGTAATTGGGTGAACTTTCCAGCCTCCCGTTAGTCGTCATACTAACCTTGAGTCTAACTTACCACCTTCAGTTATCAATACCCAATACCTTTCAACGAAGTAGTGTAAAGCAGTTGATTTCTTCACGCTAGCTTTTAGGTCTTGTGAAACGGTTCCAGGTCTTTGGTGGATTCTGATACAGTGGGTTTACCAATTCACCTGCTACAGCTTCGATTAGCCGACGGGCAGGCGTTCCAGTGGTCACAAACTCGCAGTGGGAAGAAGTGTGAATGCACACGGATTTCTGCCCTTTAGTGGGCGGTCCTGCTTGGGTGACCATGAGGGTCGCGACCGCAGCTGTCCGGTAGGATCCGAAAGTTTGAATGATTCGGTCTTTGCAAGCCTTCATCAAGTCACCAAGTAATCTGTGGTAGCTAAGGATGTAGAGCTCTAGGTCTTTCAGCCTGTCCTCATAAGGATTCTGCTTCATTCTCACACCAACCTTTGTTGCTCACCTCCGGACTTTCCTCACGAGGTTCACATCGGTTTTCAGGTTCGGTGGTGCATTGACGTTGTGGGCCTCTACGTGAGGTCGTACATAGGTCTTGTACAGCTTCGGGAAGAGTTCCAGAGTGATGGCAATTATTGGTCTCCACATAAACTGCAGCACTGCGTAGGCTCTGGGGGTATCTCCTGGAAAGCTGGAGCTAGTGCCTAGCTTGTCGGTGAGTATCAGTCCCAGGTCCTTCTCCGTGGTGCTGTGGGTAAGTTGTATTCTACAAAGAGAATAGAGCACTTTCCGAGGGTCAGGGTTGCTGAGAAACATAATTCGGCACTTGTCCAGATTATATGCTAGTCCGTTATCATCCGCCCACTCTGCAAGCGACTAGAGATTACTTTGAAGTGGACTTTATTCCGCTCCGGATGTCAGGGCTCTCCATAACTTAACATCGTCAGCCTAAAGTAAGATTGCTGAGCTGAGATTCAGTGGAAGGTCGTTCACAAAAACAGGAAATAGCAGCGGACCCAGAATCGCTCCTTGTGATACACCAGTTGGTGATGTACCTCACATCGAGCAAACCCTGTTGGTTTTTGTGCAGAATTGTGTGTTGTCTAAATAGCCCTGTAGCCAGGGGAGCACTTGGCCGTTGACACCCAACCCTGACATTATGCGAGTAGGAATAGTATGCGGGACTGTCAGAGGCCTTAGCAAAATTCGAGGAAGTAACGTTTGTCACCGGCCGATAGAACGTTTGAAGCGTTGGACCAACCTTTCTGAAACCTTGGTTGAGGATCATTTAGTGTTCGTCTCTTTTCCAAGCACTCCCTGACTCGGTCGTCTTCCATTGCTTTTGACACCACTGGTAGAAGTGCGATGGGTCGATAGTATCTCGGGTTCCGCCTGCCTCCTCCTTTGGAGGTGGGAGACATAATAGCACGTTTTCACTCTCGTGGAAGCATGTGGCTGTCTAAGGAGTGTTAAAACAGATCACGAAGCGAAACATAAGGCACCCGCGGATTGTTTCAACGTAGCCGGCCGGATGTCATAGCATCCCACTGGTTCCCCTACGTGGAGCTTTGATAGCTTTTCGAGGACCAGAGTAGGAATTCTCCTTAATCCAGGTAACTCAACTGCATTTAGCGGTGCCGAATGTTGATTTGGCGGTTGGCAGTTTCAGACAGATGGCGATATGTTTGGTCGTGCGTCGAGAGCGGCTTTAAAAGTTTCGGCTATCTGTAGTCCAGAGAGGTTCTTCCTGTTTGTCCCTCTCTCAATGCAACCTCCTCGGCCGGTGGTTTTTTTCCCTGTCACGAAGCCACATAAGTTTTTGGGACTGCTTCAGGCTTATTGACAAGGTTCTTTTCGAACGATCTCTTATTTCCCCCCACTTTGATTTTGCTTCGATTTCTTATAACCGTATACGTGGTATGATCAGACCCTTTTCTGGAGATATTCCACTTATGCAAAGCTTTCCTCTTGGCTGTCGAGAGGTG